CGGGACGGGGCGGGGCGGGGAGGCACCGAGGGTGGCGGGGGGCGGCACCGGGGGTGGTGCGGGGGGCGGTGCGGGGGCGGCAACCGGGCACCGGCACCGGGCACCGCGCACCGGGAATCGAGAATCGTACACCGGCTGCGTTGCGCAATGGGTACCGGCCCCGACTCTGCGCTCTGGACGCGGTGTAGCGGATGCTGCTCAGCGGGGACCGGGCACCGGGCGGTCCGTACCGTGCGCCTTGTGCCGGCTGCTGCACACCTGCTACCGGGCCGTGGATCGCGGCTGCAGTGTGCTGTGTACTCGGTACAGCACGCTGAACACCAAGCGCCATGCACCAAAAACAGTGGGCACTGACCACTGCTCAGCAGCATCACAGGCCATACACCGGGTGCCAGGTATGAAATTGGCATCAGCGGTACCAGTGCCGTGTACGAGGTACCGGGTGCCACGTGTTCTGTATGATGGCACTATGCACAAGGCAGCTGGCAACCGGTGTTGGCATGGCACAGCAGGTACAGCACCCTGGGCACGACCGAGCCTGTGGCACCAGTGCTGGTACCAGTGCCAGGTGCTGCATCCCGGGCATTGCACAGAGACAGTGGGTGCTAGACACTGCATACCAGGCACGGGCAYGAGTACTGGGCACTGCACCACGCAGGGCACAACATGTGCCAGCACCAGCATTGCACTCTGGCACTGGGTACCACGTCCCACACCCTGAATACTTAGTGTTAGCACCAAGCTCGCCATGGGGCCTGCTCTTCAGGTCTGCTTGTTCTCCTRGACCAAGCCCTCCTGCCCTGACTCTGTCCCCTGCCTGTCATCTCCCTGTGCCTGCCTCGTGTCCCAGCAGTGCAGGATGGTGCCATGGGGACCTGGGTCCAAACTGTCTCAGGCTCTCTCTCAACACTTCCTCCAGGCACTGCCAGCCAGGACCACAGATGGGGAGACCTCGATAAGCCCACTGTGGTTGCTGGCAACACGACTGGAGGCAGGTTCGCCATGTTTACATGCCAGGGAGAGAACAGTGCCAGCTCCTGCCTCGGCCTGGTGCAGACCAAGCTGTACAGCCCATGAGCAGGACCCTGCTGGGACCATGGATGGGTCTGTGGATGCACGGCATGTCCATGCTCTGGCCGGCCTGGGACAGTGTGGCAGGGCAGTACTCTCTCCAGGTGTCACTCCAGGGGTGTCCGGCAGCATGCCTCTGCGATATCAGTGCAGATCATTAACCACCTTTATCGGGCATTGGGTTCAATGTCCTGGGCAGGGAGATTGCRTCCTCAGGCTGGGCAGGTGTCTGAGGGCCTCACGAATGACTGTTCCTGCCCTCGGTCCTGTCTCACCGGGGGACTGGGCAGTGTCCCGCACTGCGCTCCAGGCTGATGCCTTGTGTGCTCCCTGCCAGCGGGGCCGCCACCGGGGTTGCAGGACAGGGGCACCCCCGTGCCTGTAGACACCTCCGAGGCACCCCAGACTGAGACAGACAAGAACGAGCTCCTGCTGCCATCTCATGGCTGCTCACAGCCAGCTCTGTCGCTTGCCCTGCACCGGCCGATCTCAGAGCCGAGGCAGCAGGACAGCCCCGGCCCGAGGACTTCTGTGAGCTTCCCAACCTGGACACTGTAGCTCTCGCTCACCCGGGCAGGGGATGGCTCTCCCAGCCTGTTGTCACTGTGTTTCCCSTTGCTGGGAGTGGGACTCTGCCACCTCTTTCGGTTTAAAACAATTGCCTCTTGCAAGAAGATAAAAACACACTTCTTGGTAAAAGGCCTCTCTCCATCTTTCTTAYAAACCTGTTTATATACTGAAAGGTTGCAATAAGACGTTCCTCAGCCTTCTCGACGTTGGACAACAAAAATCTCTTCACGGGAGAGGTGCTCCAGCCCCTCGATCATTTTGTAGCCTCATCTGGCTCGTCTGTACCTACTCCAACAGCTTCATGCCTCTCCTGCRCTGAGGACCACAGATGCTGTACTACAGGTGGGTTCTCAAGAGTGTGGAGAGSAGCAGAAGCATTACCTCCCGTGCCCCGCTGAGCATGCTCCTTATTTTCCAGTCTCGGATGTAATCTGCTTTCTGGGCTGCAAGTGCACATTGTCGGCTCACACACTATTTTTAATCCACCAGTGCTCCCAACTCCTTCTCTCCAGGGCAGCTCTCCGTCCACCCCATCCATCCCATCCATCCTTCGATCCATCCGATCCATCCATCAGTCCATCCCTCAGACTGAACTGGTACTGGGGTCGCCCCGGCCTGGGTTCAGGACCTCGCACTCGGCTCCGTGGAATGTCAGGCTGTGCCACCGCAGCGGCTTTACGGTGCCCCGTAATCTGCTCGTGGCGGGGGSAGAGGGGCCCCGTGATCCCGGTTACTCCCCGCTGCCGCCGCTAGGCTGTGCTCCCCGTCCGCGGGAGAGGCGGCGGGGACCGGCCGGGGGCTCGGCTGGGGCCGCTGCCGGGGCTGTGGGGGAGGCCGTGCTGGAAGGGGGCCGGAAGGGCTGCGTGAGTCAGCCGCTCTCAGAGCCGCCCGGAGGGGACTTCCGAAGGGAACCGGCTGGGCCATGACACATCCGCGGCCGGAGGATGCCGCGTGGAGCCGGGGACACCGCCAGCTCCCGGGAGGTCCCCACTGCGGGGCCAGCCCAGCTTGGCGACAAGCGCAGCAGAGGCGGGAGAGGAAATGCTSCCTTTAGCCATGGGGATGTGGAGCTGGGGGTGGCAGGTCCCATCCTGTGTGTCACTTTGCTCCAGTGGTGCTGTGGCTCTACTCATGCCACAGACCCCTTGTCAGGTCCGACCTCATCTCACCGGTGGGACCTGTGGGTGCAGATACAGGCACTGTGGGACCCTCTGCCTCTCTGTCCCTCAACCCTCCACCAGACACTGCTCATGGAGGGTCCTGGCTGCCCATTCTCTTCGTAAGGAGGGACAGCTTCTTTATGTGACTTTGTGCAGTGTCACCCASGAGCTGGACAATTTTCCCAGACTGCATCCACTAACCCTGATTTGCTCTCCCACAGCCGGGGGCTGGGGAGGGGGGGAATTGGGGTGTCCCAGGGGAAGGCATCCCTTGACTCATCCCCAGGAAAACCCAGGCTGTGAGAAGGCTGAGCCTGGGTTCCGAGGACTGTAAACAGCCCAAAGCATTTAGCTGGACATAGYCTGTCACGTCAACTGTGTGTCACCACACTGTCACTGTCTGAGTCATGAGCCATGCTGGGGCCAGTGGGGTTGCACAGGGGGGACATTTGGAGATCTAGAGGGATGTGGACAGATCCCAAGCCTGGAGACAGCTGCTCTTCTTTCACACAGAGTTCAAGTGGAACCCTCTTGGCCCTCTCCCAAAGGTCCCCTTCCTCTCATTTCCCTCTGTCTGACCCCTCAGATATGGACAGGGGCTTGGGGACAGCACAAAGATTTTTAAACAAGAAGAAAATCAACCAGCACAATGGTGTGTCCACCATGACCACCATGCAGGACTCAGCACCTGGCAGAAGGCTCAAATCCAGGCTCCCCCTGCTTTGTGCCCCTTGGGACCCTGGCAGGCCAGGACCTTTCTCCGAGGACATGAGAACAGGACTCCGGAGAGAACCCGGGGCTGGCATTCCGTTATCACAGGAGACGGGAGGCAGCCCCAGGCTGCTCTCAAGTGGTCCTGGCTGATTAGTGACTTCAAGTGCCTATGGAGTTATTCTAAGTCAAGTAGGAGCCAAGGGAGCTGACCTGGGACCAGTAAGACCAGTGCCAGTCTTTCCTGGAGTGTCCCACATCACCTCTGCTCCCTGCCAAATTCTCCAAGACAGGGAGGTGTTTCCTCTCTCCAGCTGCTCTCCCTGTCCCTTACTCCTCCTGCAAAAGGCTGTTTGCTCCAGCCTAAAGCAAACCTGATTTTATCTCCCGACTCCAGTTCCCTTGGCTGTGGGCCACGGTGGATGCCTCCCACGCAGAACTTGTGCAGCCCATTCGGGGACCCGYGCACAGAGCGGGCTGTGTATGCTGCCACATGACATCATGTTTACRGCCCGCGGGGGCCCAAGGACAGCGGCATCGCCGCAGCCCAGATATGAGTGTCCTTCCCATGGATGGACAGATGGATGTGCGGGGAGCTGGAAGGAGTGRGACTGGCCACAGAGCCATGTCTTGGTGAAGAGGGGTGGTTTCAGCTTTGCTGCTCTGCAAGCCAGTCTTCTTGGCCTCAGTTTCCCCTCTGGGCAGTGGAGAGCAGATCCTGTGGTAGCAGTGAGCGCGCGCTGCAGCAGCAGCRCAAGGTCGGGCCCTCAACTTGTTGTGCAGAGAGAAAGGCAAATTTTCTCCCCTTGGGATGTGGATGTTCCCTTCTCTCCCAGGACAGATGCTGTGTGAAACTTAGGTTGTTTGGAAAGAGCAACAACATTCAGAGCTAACACAGGCTCACTAAAGAGTGTTCACTAAAGAGGGCCATCCTTTCTCTATCCATCCATCCATCCATCCATCCATCCATCCGTCCGTCCGTCCGTCCGTCCGTCCGTCCGTCCATCCACACTTGCAAGTAGCTTTCTCACAGACATCATCCATCTACGGAGATGTCTGTACATTCATCCATCCATCCATCGACAAATGCATACATCAGCATCTTCCTACCCAGCCCCACACCTCCCTCTCCTTCCAGACAACTACCCACTCTTTTTCTGTCCCTCCTCCCATCCATCCATCCATCCATCGATCCATCCATCCATCCATCCATCCATCCATCCATCCATCCATCCATCCATCCATCCATCCATCAATCCATCCATCCATCCATCCATCTCCCACCTGTCAGTGCCCAAGGGATGCACAGCCCTCCCTTGAGGGTATGGGGTGTGCTGACAGGTGTGTGCACGTGTGTGTGTCGGGTGTGCTGACCACACAAAGGGCTGTGGGCAGCGATGTCCCAGGCTGTGTCCAGCCATGGGGCAGGGCTAGGAGTGCTGGCCAGGGGGAGAGGCACTTGTCTAATTTAAGAATGGGCCCCACAGTTGCTGTCAGCACCGGGTGGCTCTGATCTGGGGACAGGTCCTCATCAGCTCCGCTTGCTGCCCGCCAGCCTGACATGAAAGGGCTCTGCACCTCGATAAGGCCTCAGACGCTCTGTCCCAGAGGTGGGCAGCACTGTGGCCAAGCCTGGGGAACCCTGAGGAGTAAGTTTTAGCATGGCTGTCCCCAAATTCACTGTCACTTCAGCACCATGTGGTTTGTGTGTTTGCATCAGTTGGGAGCTCAGCCCTGGGGGCCTCCCTCCTCTTTATGCCCTGGATCATGTCCTGTGTCATCACCATCTCCCACTGGTGACATAACTCCAGGGAGGTCACCATCCTCATCATCCCCCTGGCTGCCACAGGCCTCTCTGCTGGCTGCTACCTTGCACTGGAGTCCCCCAGCTGTGAGCAGCCATGGATGGGGACCATGTTGTTTTAATAAGATCATTCTCCTCCTGCCGTGAGGTCGCAACCTGGGCTTATGACATCACAGTGCGCTGCCATGGAAATGCCAGGATGTCACAAACACAGCTCGATGACCTCACTGCAGGAGCAGGAGATGAGGCCAATGTGGGTTTGATTGCCAATGTCCTCAGGAATAAAGGAGGGGAGGGACGCTGGGAAAGTATGCGGCYGCTGAGCGCCGGGGTGTTTGGGTTGGAAATCGTCACGCTTTCCCCACAGCGGGAAAGGCCCATTACTTCCTCCCCTGTCCGCTGCCTCACAGCAGCCAGAGCCCACCCCCAGCCTTGTGGATGTGGGGTAGGAGGGCTGTTGGAGCAGGGCACCCCCATCCATGCCCTTGGGCCCGTGTGGTAGGGAGTGAGAGAGCCCAGCACAGCGTCAGGGCACCAGCCTAGAGGCAGAGGGAGTTCAGTGGGGGGCRCAGGATGGGCCACTCAGGGGATGCTTTGTCTCACAAGCAGGCTGGGGATCGCTGGGGATTGCTGGGGAGCGCTGGGGATGCTGTTACAAGGGGCAGAGTGGGCTGGAATCCTGGTGAGGTCTTCTCTGCCTCAAGAGGATTTCAGAATCATGCTGCTAAATGGGGACAGTATTCTCCCAACACAGCACCCTGAGGCTGGACCCCAAAGCACCCCTTGGCCCTGCCCAGCCACCCAATAACTGTCCCCTCCCCTGCCCATAACCAGTACTCTCTCCTGGGGACCAGCTGTCCCCTACCACAGCTGAGTTCTCTATTCTCCACAGACATTGCCTCTTGGGGAAAGCATGGCTGGTTGGGGGGACACCCGTCCCCCCCTCTCTGTTGCAGGGGTGCAGGGGTGTCTGCTCTCCCCCGGCATCCTCCGTCATTAATTTCCATCAGTGGCCAAGCGAGGCTGGGGCTGCCTGGGGGTGGCCGAGGAACACGGCGCTTTCCCCTGATAGCAAAAATAAATACATTAAAATTCTTGCAGGAGGCAGAAGAATGCGGGACGGCAGGAAAAAATTGTTTTATAATTTGTAATAACACAAAAGCCGAGGGGGGGGGGGGGGGCGGGATCGAGCTGCGAGAGGCGAGGAAAGGCAGAGACAAAGGATCAGCTGCGATGGTGGAGGCTGTTTCAGGGTGGCAGTGGCATCCCTGTCACCCCGGATTGGTACGACCACTGTCAGCTTTTCCCCTGAAGTATGTGTCCTTTGGGGTCTTGCTGYAGAAGAGGCAGCAAGAAACTTACCGGGGTTGAGCAAACAGGCAACACCCCCCGCCCCCCAAGCTGCTTAAACAGGTCTMAGCATCTCTGTGCCTCAGTTTCCCCTTGTTAAAGGGGAATTTTTATGCAACTGTGAGAAAAGCTATGAAATAGGGGCAAACCCCTGGCACAGTCCCCACCCCAACCCCCTGATACAGACACAAGGCAAGGAGCCCACCTCTGTCCCCTCTGCCCCACTGGCTTTGCCATATGACCCGGACAATGGGGCCAGTCCCCATAAGTGTTCTGGGGGCTTCACAGCCCCCCCAGCCCCCTCCAGCCTCACACAGAGCAAAGACATGATAAGGCGAGTTGCTGAGCACCAGCCGCACCTGCTCGCCGAGACAGCACCCCCCCTCCCGCTCCCCTCTTCGGGGCAAAATCAAAGGGATTTTTCTGCCCTTAGGAAATCAGATAAAGGCTTCTCACCTGCCCCGCGCTGCCTTTGCGAGGAGGCCAGGCGCTAGGGGCGGGGGGACAACAGGCACTTTCAACACGCCGGCAGATGAGCCGTGCGCTGTGGTGAGCTTTGCCGGCAGGGGCTGGGCCCCTGGGCACCGTGTCAGCCTCCCCCAGCCTTAGCAGGGATGTCCCCTCCCCASGAGCTACTAGATTAGAGGTGATGGGGTTGTTGTAGGACAGCTAGGATGGAGGCTGGTGGGTGAAAGCCAAGGACAATAGGACAGGGTACGGCATGGCAGCCCAGATACTGTGCCCAGCTCAGGGAAGGTCCCCTTTTCCCTGTGTCCCCATGCTGTGGCCAGGGCAGCTCAGTCACCATGCCAAAGGTGCAGACCAGGAGCCCAGCTCCTGTATGGGAGGGCAGAGAAAGAGCAGGTGTGACACCTCCAGAGGTGGTGGGAGTCTCTTACCTGCTGTGCCCAGGAGGGAGAGAATTGTGCCAAGCTGCAGATAAAGCCTGAGTTATTCACCACCAAATGCTGTTAGCAGGGAGAAAACATGCCCTGGTGAAGGGGTGAAACTACTGATGATCAAGGCAAGCGGAACAGTGATGGGCAAGCCAGGGGCTTGAGATGGGCAGGGTATGGGAGGCCATGAAGGGGGACAGAGCACAGATAGCTGCTGGATGGAGGGGTGATCTCACCAGCAGCCAGGGTTCTCTGCTTTACCTAMCAATGGTGGAAGACATCTGCTTTTTCCTTGGGGTAACCCAGTGGGTTGGCTGGTTGCTCAGTGGAGGTGGGCACAGGCACTAATTGTGACTCCCTCAGGTTATCTGTTCCAGCCCCAGGATCCATGGGCTGGATGCTGCATGGCTGAGAGCTTCATCCCCAACCTCTGCTGGGAGCCATGGATGGTACAAGAGGAATTAGAGACCCAGAGCATTGGTCTGAGCACTGGCAAACCATTCGTGGGGCTCCTCTGTGGGGACAGTTGGGGTGGCAGGCTATGGGCTCCTCCTGTCCCCAGCTGCCCAGCCCTTGTGTGGCCCCCTKCTATCTTCCAGGCACAGCAGCTTCCTCCTGCCCCGGGCAGCTCCTGCTGCTCCTCCTTGTTGTGATCTGCTGCTGGGGACTGTCTCTGTTCTGGGTGCTGGCTGCACCTGAGATGGAATCACAATAAACAAGATGTCCCTCTCCTGCTCTTGGTCTCTTTGCTCCTGGGGCTGCCTCGATCATTCTCCTGCGTGTTCCTCTGCCCCAGGCGTGTCTCTCCAGAGTGCTGGAGCTAAGTGTTGGGAAATGCTTCCAGGAGGGTCACTCCTCCAGCATTCCCAGGTGGGATGGAGTGGTCTGAGGACAGGCACGGTCATGGAGCCAGGGTTGTGCTAGGCAAGCCCAGTGCAGGGACAGAGGCTACGCAGGGCGACACAGGGATGCCAGGTTTGGGCAAGGCCATGCCAGGTTTGTCACGGTCCGGCAGGAGTGTGGCAGGAAGGTGTTGGGGACAGCTCGAGGCCAGGGTTTTGCAGGGCTTTGGCAGGACTCCGAGCAGAGCTGGGCAGGGCTGTGCCAGGCAGGGCTGTGCCAAGCAGGTCCGTGCCAGGCGGGTCCGCGGCGGGTCCCGGGGCTTCGAGGGCAGGTCCAGGTCCTCAAAAAGAGCTGCACGATCAAGTGCGGCGGCGGGACGCGGGCCGGACAGGCTGCGGCCACCGTCCCCTACCGGAGGGTGCCCGTGGCCGTTGCCGTGCCCACATCGTGTCCGTGGYTGTGCGCCGGGAACAGAGCCTGGCACCCGGGAGTCCCCCCGCCCGGCCCGCCCTGTCCGTCCCCCCGGGCTCCGGTTTCCCTGTCGGAGCAGATGCTTTCGCAGCCCCGTCCCTCCTCCTCCTCCTTCTCCGGAGCAGCCTCCGCGCCGCGCTCCAGCCGCCCGGAGGTGCCTGCCCAGCCCAGCCCAGCCCAGCCCAGCCCGGCCCGGCCCGGCCCGGCCCCGCCGGCCGCATTGCCCGCCCGGCCCGGCCCGGCCCGGCGGAGGGAGACAGCGGGCACCCACCCGCCGGGGCCCCGGCCGGACCTCGGGGCTGCCCGGCTCCCCGCGGGCGGCGTGGAGCGAGTTGGACGCTGTCCTCAGCCCTGGCAGGATGCTGCCTTCCTCCCGGACCCAGCTGGGGCTCTTCTTCATCCTCCTCTGCCCCGCTAACATCATCGGGCTCTGGTGGTGAGTAGGACATCCCGGGGGATGGGGTGGGGGGGATGTGAAGCAGGAGAGCATATAGGGTCTCTCGATCCCCGGGGATGGCGTCCCCCCCCCAGCCTTGGGGACGACAGACTCCCCTACACCCAGGCATTACTTGGGTGGGAATTGCTGCTCACCGGCTGTGCGGATCCATATCGGGACACCCACACGCTGTCAGGGTTTGGGCACACAGTGTGTTGGGGACAGCAGGCTGGGGSACCCCAGGAGCATAGGGCACACAGGTATTGTAGTGAGAGTCGCATTCTGCCTCCCTGCACCCCAAGCCCAGAGCCAAGGAGGGTGGGAAAAGGGGCTTATGGCCTCCAGACACCTCCAATAAGTCAAATTTAATTAAAAGCCCGAGGGTCCCTACAGAGTCCCCCCTGAACGGTGGCTTGGACACAGCAGGGACAAAACCCCTATTTGTAATGGTGCCTTCATCAAAGGCAGAGACGGTGCCTTGCAGGATACTAGAGGGGGTGGGGGATTCATTACAGGCACAGAACTGGGACCCAGCCTTGGAAAGCCCAGGTATCTGTCGAAACATGAACTATTTAAATCTATTAAGAATTTCACCCAGCCTGTCTTTATCCGGTTTTAAGTGCTTAGATTCCAGCTCCCCGGCGTGCCGTCCGGGCTATCATTCATTATCTGAGGCTATTCGTCTCCACATTGTCACACTCTTTTGACCCCTAAAATAAAGCTCTCCATAAGCCTTTCCCCTCCCGGTCCCCTGCCTGCCCACCAGTGATTTATTCCACGTCTCCATTCCCTTTGCTAGCCCTGGCTCCAGGGGTGCAGTGGGGGTTTGGGTGAGYATAAATGGTGCTGTTACAGTTGTACATCAGCTGAGAGTTTGTCCCTGGAGCCCAAGTGCTGTGTTTATTTCCAGGCAAGGGTTTAACTGGGGTCTGAGAGGGACTTGCCTTGGGTTTTTTGCTAGAGGAGTGGAGAGCAAGGTAGGACGAGCCCTGGCTGAGGCAGGGTGTATGTGGAGGGTCTCCAACTCCCTGCCACCTACCTCAGGGTCAGCTGTGCCACTGCAGGGCATATTCCCTCTTGCTGCCTGAAACCTGCTGTTTTTCCCTGGCTAATCCTCAGGCACACATAGAGCTGTGCCTTCATCTGTCCCTGCTTTCTCTGCCCCATCCTCATCAATATCTCCAAGCTCATGTCCTGTGCTCCAGCTTCAAGGACATCTGCTCAAGGCTGGAGCAGGTGGAGGTGAAGCAGAAACTCATTTTGCCTTCCTTTCAGGGGCAGACAGACAGCACTGACAAGGGCAGGGTGCTGGGGTACCAGTGCCCCTCACCYTGGCTGCTCAGAGCAGCATCTCACTGTGGAGTCTGAGTCCTGCTGGTGCCACTTGTGTGCTGGCAGTGCCGACTTGGGGAGATTAGAAGGATTTGGCAGAGGAGGACAAGGGGTCAAACTTGTTTTTTCTTCTTTTACAAAAGAAGAGGAAAATGAACCTTTAATTTAGGAATGATAACTCAGCTGCCTGAAGCATGGCAAATGGACTGGGCAGTGGAGTGAACTTCAGCGGGATCACCAGCTCACACTGCTTCACTCTGGAGCCAGCGAGATGGGAGGAGGTGRTGGGTGGATGAGGCCACCAGCACCACCAAACGGATGTGCCGGGCTTCCTGGGACAGGGCACAGGAGCAGCTGGCTGATTCAAGGACAGCTTCCCTCAGAGTCTGGGGTTTTGGCCCCTGACTGTGGTCATCTGCCCTTGCTGTGTGGGGCAGAGAAGTCCTGGCGCTGCCTGGACCCTTGAGCCAGCTCACAACAGGCATTTTTCCCACGTGCTTTCTCCCGGTGCCTTCTCCCAGCTCTGGTAGCATGGTGTCTGTGGGTTTTACATTTGGTGGAGAGGGTCTCAGGGGTGCAGCTKTGTGTTGTGCCGGAGTTCTGGGAAGCCTCAGGATTGGTGGCATTGATAGAGCTGTTCCTTGCTGTCACTGATAYATTGGGACTTCCGTGGCACACCTTCATGTGCATTTTGCTCTGGCCAAGAAAGAAATATATTTATCACTCCCCCATCCCACCCCTGAGTACGTTAGCTCTATGGTGGAGGAATATAGGGGTTACCTGTTTGAGCCAATTTTTTCCCACACTGATGAACTAAWTTGTGAGAGTGGCATGGTGGGCTGTAGCTGGGCTGGATCCCAAGGGGCACAGTCCCCAGGCTGGCTGTGCAAACAGCGCTGGCCACTCATGGGTGGCAACTGCACCCATTGGGACACTGGTAGATGGCTGCATGTGTGGAAAAAGATTCAGTAATGATGTACAAGCACTGACATCCTGCAAGTGATGCCTGAGAAAGGGCATCCTCATTGTGTTAGATGTCCTCAGAGAGCTCARTGAGGACACAGACCTTTCCATTGCAGAAGGAAGCAGGCTGTGGTAGTGCTGGAAGATATCTCACTCACGTGCTGCTGGCACCTTGGTTAGTGCCAAACTGCAGGRAGAAAGATCTCCTTGCTCTCACCAGCTCTGTACATTCCCTTTCTTCCTCTTCCCCTATTCTTCACACGTTTCTTGCTCAGCTCCTTGTGTAACAGTGATTTCTCTTTGAGCAGGACAGGTAGGGACAGCCTGGGGCCCCTGGGCTGGTCCAAAGGGTACAGGGATACAGAACAGGCAGACTTAGAGTCTGAGGAGCCCCAGGCAGGTTCAGGGCAGGATTTCAGCCCAGCCGKTTTGCAGTTGGGCTGTGCTTGCAGGCACTGTGAGGATGGGGACAAGCAAAGCCAGCTTCCCTGGTGCCTGTTGGCTCTCCATGGGCATGGCTGAGAGCAGCTGGGAGATGGAAGAGAGAGCAAGGGAGAAAATCATCCCAGCTAAAACGTACTCTACTCCAGCCGTGGGTCTGAGGGGGCCCGGAGGGATGGACACCTGCCCTCCATCCTTCTCCTGTCCATGCACAAAGGCAGCACACCTCCAGATTTTCATGGGACTTCTTCAGAGGCACTAAGGAGGGACCCATCCACCAGCCCCTSTGGCTATACCCTTGCTTGAGGGGGTCCCATGTCCCTCAAGACACACACCCTGGGTGGTTTCATGCACCAGAGGTCTCTCCTCTTTCACTGCCCTGTCCAGCACCCAAACTACAAGAGCAGAGCCTGTAAGGGCAGGCTGCAGGGCTGGAGGGCCCTGCCTGCATGTCTTGGGGTGAGCTTTGTGAGTCACCCCCTGGGCTTGCTGACCACACTTGCTACCCCATGACACCCAACAGAAGGGCTGCCCAGCCACCCTGGACATGCCTTCACCCCTGGAGCAGCACCATATGAGCAGAAATGCATCTCCCAGTGGAGAAACCCCTACCTGGTGGCATGTCCCTGTGCCCTTGCTGGGATGGCTGCTGGGTTTTTCAAAGGGACACTATTTCTCCTGCACTCTTTGAGATGACAACTGGCTTCAGCATTGGGCTACTTGCTTTTTCCCACAAAGGCAGCTGAGCTTTYGCCAATGCCATCCCTTGTCCCTATTCCTGGTCACATCTGCTTTTCTGTGGTGACATCAGGCTCCCCAGCCATGCCCGACACATCCCCAAACTGGAGGGTTTGTTTGCATTTTGTGTCAGAAGCTTGACCCCTTCCAATACCCCTCACGTGGGAGGACACTGGCAGAACTGGGCACACCCCGACATCTGCTCAGCTTTTGCGGGTCCTGCCACCACATGTGACCCCCACATTTGGGCATGAACTAGCCAAGCCCTCATGCTACCCCAGCTCCAGCCTCTGCCAGCACCTGGAGGAAGGACACAGTGACCCCGAGTGGGTGGACGTCTTTCTTCTTATCACAGCCCTTCCAGGGTTTGGACTTGGCTTTAGGACCACCAGCTCTGCAGGTGCACGCTCCCTCCATCCCCCCGGTACCTGTAGCACAAGGTTGGGCAGCTCCTGCTCACGAGAGCCTGGCCTCAGCATGASCCTGCAGCTAGGAGGTCCAAGGGCTGGTGCAACACCATGCCAAAGCCTCCTTCCTTGAGGCAGCATCCCAGCTGTCTGCATGCCATCCTTGCCAAAGAGGTGTAAGGAGGAGGGCAGGGAATGGGGTCCCCCTTCTYTTCCCAACCCAGGGCATTTCCTGCTGCCTCAGGTCCCTGGGTGCTGCTCAGCAGCCAAACCCTGGCTGTGCCCCCCGGGGCAGTGACTTGCTGCTTACTCACCACACCCTCACGAGCCTCCTGCTCTGTTTTCCACACCTGGCTGCCCCGGTTAGTGGCAGCACCCACGCATCGCCCCGGGTGAGGGGCCGAGTGCCTGCCACACGCCTGCAAGGGCTGTAGGGAAAGCTGGATGGGTGAAAATAAATCTGTGTGTCCCCCTTGCCCTGTTTGCACAGCTCGGAAAGAGATGGGTTCCCTTTGGGTTTGACTTCCTTGTAGGGCTGTCACTCAGTTTGACACCATTGAGTGGGACATAAGGTGACCTATGTCCCCAAGGATGGAGGTCAGTTCTCCAGGGCTGTCACCCTGCAGTTCTTACTTCTCCAGGTGGGTGCAGAATAATTTCTGGGCTCAGTTATCCTCGTATGCATCCTCCTGAAGGCTTCYAGAGGCTGGGATAGAGACCTGCATGGGAGGCGAGACACAGCCTTACTGCCCCAGAGCAGAGTCTGCTGGGCACCAGGCAGTGCCCAGGCAGCACTCAATGGCTGCAGGCTCCTCAGGTCCCACATGGAGCTGGTGTGGTACAACCACTGCTCTGCCTTGGCACTTCAGGGCCATCAGGACCAAAGCAGGCATTTTTCACCCAAGATGCAGGTGCCACTTTTGAAGGCTGACTATCCTCTTCCTCACTGCRTGGTTCTGCCAGCCAGCCTCACTCCCATGGCTTCCTGCAGACTGGAACTCCACTGGCTGCCCTCCATCAAAATCCTTCTTCACGTCATCCTCATGCCCAAGGAGAAAACGGTGACTTGGCCCAGGCTYCTTGGTCCTGATTTTGTCTGGGAATGAGACTGAGACGTGCTGGAAGTTCCATGACCGTGAGCTGAGCTGGAAAAAAATGGTGATTATGGCTCTCAGGAACCCCTGGCTCTGTTGCAGCAGGCACAGCAACCAGAGCACAGGGGTTGCATCAGAAGCCCCAGTGACTCCTGCTTGATGTGCGTCATTGGGACTGGGCTCAGGCTGCGGCTGTGGCAGCCTAAGGGGTGACAGCAGTRGGTGGGTGGTGTTTTGCAGCCCCTTTTCTGTGCTTCAGTCTCCCCTTTCAGCAGCGGGGGTTGTTTCCCTTACACAGGGGTGCCAGGAGGTTGGAAAGTGGGGCTCATGATCTCTTCAGCTTTCAGGGCAGGATGCAGCCCCTGGCAATGGTTCTGGCAAAGGGCGTTGGGGGCAGCACCATGGATGCTGCTGAGCTGCTGAGCCCAGATGGGGGCTCCCAGGCGGGAGGTGGCGGGGGCYGGGGTGCCCCAGGCAAGTTGTGGGGAGCTGGGCTGGCGACCCTGTTCTCTCACCAGGGCAGGGGGAGGAGTGCCCGGCGGCAGAGGTGGGGCACCTTAATTGTAGATGCGGGAGGCCTTGGAGCGGGACAAGCTCAGGCAGATCTGGGCCCTGTGCCGGAGCCCTTGCCAAAGTGGTAGCAGTTTGGCAGCATTTTTCTTGCCCTTGTCTCCCCCCATTCTCCCCCCCTCTCCAAACCCTCCAAAGCAAAACAGCTCTTGGGCTCCCGGCAGCCTCCCTGCGCCAGAAAGCAGAGCCCAGCGGAAATTAATATCGCGCTGGACTTAGGCAGCCCACCCCACGCCTCGTCGGTATGGACAGAAAGCTCCCGCGCTCTCTCCCAGCCTTGCTGCYGCCTGGACCATGGTGGGGACCCCCTCGGTGCCGAGGAGCCGCCCACCGCCCCCCAGACCCGCGGGGCTGAGCTCTTCTTCCCGGCCTGATCCAGCGGGCCGGGGTGAGCCACAGTTCAGTATTTGATCTGACAGCCCTGGGGGGCTGGCGCATCGTTTTTATACRAGTACAAAGAGTCGTCTCTTAATGAAAGTCCCATCCTGGCTCCCCCTCTTGCTCACCCCACTGGCAGAGGCAGCCAAACCTCCGCCATCCTGCTGTAAATGTTGAGAGCCCATGGTCACAAAGGGCAGCAAGCCTGGAGGCCAACACGGAGGCTTGGATCCCTGTGCGGTCATCGTGGGACAGGACTGGACAGATTTTTTTGGTTGCTTTCCACATGGGCCTCAGTTTCCCCATCTATGGGGTACCTGTGCCAGGCAAGCTCTGTGATGCTTCCATAGCTGCTCCATGCCTTTGCAGAAGTGCCTGTGAATTGTGCAGCAAAAGAAAGCTGAGCTGCCTGGAGCAAAGGGAGATGGGTTCCCCYCGGCAGGAATGTAGGCTTGCCTCAGTTTCCCTACTGGAAGTTCCCTTTCCAGGCTATCCCTCTCTGTTTAACCTTTAAACCTCCAGTCAAGCATTAGGGCTCCTTTTCCAGGCTGTGCTAGAGGGTACATCCTCTCCAAGCCCAGCTGGGGTCTGATGTGCAGGAGATATGGGCAGCTGGAGAGTCTGACATGGGACAGGGGGATCCTGACAGTGCCTTGAGCTTCGAGCAAGGGGGGTTTGCACTGGGGACAGGATTTCAAGCAGAGTACTGCAGCCTGGTGTCCCAAACACAGCCCCCCCGCTGCGCAAGAGTGGAAAGGAAACCCAGAACACAGTTAAACACTGAGATTCAGCTTGTGATTTTTGAGCCCCTGGGGCTTGGCCAGACTATAAAGCTCTGAGTTTGGAAGCTGTGCAGCTGATGCTCTCCAGTGAGTGGGGCTGGAGGCAGCACAGGCTGCCCAAGCACTGGTCCCCAGGGAATCCCAGGGAATGTAGCCTCACAACCATCAGGCATCTCTCGGTCTTGGGGTGTGCTGAGTCCAGCCCTGAGGTTCTGTGAGCATCCATGGCCAAGAAAATGACGTTGTTGAGCAGGATGAGCTCTGAGCCCCCAGGAGCAGTGCTGGAGGCAAGGGTGGGCTGTGTTTAGGGTGTGCTAAACTCGTGTGGCCCATGGCTCCGGAGTTGCCCGTGGCAGAGCTGGAGCATGGCCCATGTCAGCACGAAGCAGGGCGCTGGCGGGCTCACAGCTGCACGGGCTGTGCCGGGGAGGGCACTCCGGGCCAAATGTGTGGGGAAAGTACAGGAGTTTCTGTAGCCAGCGGCACACCGGGGAGCACAGCGCTGCGCTCAGACTCTGCCTCCAGGCCCAGAGAGCCAGGCACCTCACTCCAGCTGTGCTGGCAAGGAGGAGCTGCCTCTGACGTGGGCCCAGCCAAGACTTGCCCTCCCTCACTGGCATTGGCAGAGCTGGAGATGCCACCTGCATCCCTCCCTTGCACTCCCTCACCCGCCTGCGGCTCCGTTCCCTGGAGTCAGTGCCTGGATTTGGGGAGCTGAGTACAGGATCCTGGCCAGCAGCCAAGGGGCTTTATCTCAGGCAAGGTCACTCATCTAGTCTCCCACAGGGTAAAGCAGCGAGCCCCCCTGGAGAGGGGGAGACACACTGAGAATGCTGGCTGGGCTCCTGACTGCGCCCACGGCTCTGGGACATGCAGCTGCATCAGGCATCAGCCACATGGCAGTGCCAGGGCTGTGCTGGGTCAGTGCCAGCCCCAAAGGGCAGGTGCTGAGTAACGCAATATTTCTGTCATCTCCCATCGGGGACACCACCATCATCCCTATGGATGTCCCCAAGAATGTAGAGTGGCATGTACCAGTATCACCCCRTAGCCAGTCCCACTGATGGAGATCCCCACCATTCCCTGATGGGACAGACAGGTCAAGGTATCCCTTGGGTGATTCRCCCCTACCTGTTGTCCTGCCCCTGCTGCGTACCTCTCTCTGTCCCCTTGTYAGCCGGGCTCAGCACACAGGTGGCACTGCCCTGCAGCCCTGCTCTGTCCCTGAGGGCGGTCTGCTCACATCCCATCCACGCCCTGTCTCTCCTGGGCTCGGGTGCTGGTTTTGCTCTGCTCGCTGTCCCCTCCTGCAGGGCAGTGGGAAGCCCCCTGGTCATGGACCCCAACAGCATCTGCCGCAAGACGAAGCGGCTGGCGGGGAAGCAGGCAGAGCTGTGCCAGCTGGAGCCAGAGATTGTGCAGGAGGTGGCCAAGGGCACCAAGCTGGGCGTCCGGGAATGCCAGTACCAATTCCGCTTCCGCCGCTGGAACTGCACCAGCCACAGCAAGTACTTCGGCAAGATCCTGCAGCAGGGTAAGGCCAACGCTTCCTCAGCTTCCCATTTCCCAAAAAGGCTCCAGCCAGGTCATGCACCTTCCTGGGGCTCCTGGAGCAGCCTTGGCGTGCAAACCTTTGAGTGTGTGTGTGTGTGTGTGTGTGAGCGTGTAGGGCGTTGCTCAGTGCTCCCCGGTGCAGTCACACTGAGGTTTTACTGCCGGGACATGTCTCCCCGTGTTGTAATGAAGCAATTACCGATGCTCCCAGACAGTGCGGGGCTTCATGAAGCCCAAGAATGCACCCTCGTCTGGCAGTGATTTACTGCTCCCCTGGGACCCCAGGGTGTGCTGGGGGAAGGGGCCCGGGTGGGAAGCAGTGCACAGCCATTGGGAGCTGCCCCTCACTCTGTGGGTGCCCTTCACATCCCTCCTGCTGGCCTTGCAGGGAGCAGAGGAGAGGAGTGTCTGYCCCTTGTCTCTGTCCCTGGATGGGCACCCTAATGTCACCCTGAGGTACAGTGAGGTACAGTGGCAGGAAGGTATGTGCAGGCCTCAGCCAGATGGATACAGTGGTCTAAGYCCAGCCCAGCTGCTTCAAATCAGAGCAGGGGCAGAGCAGGAGGGCATCCGTGAGTGTGTAAGGGATGGGAAAGCCCTGCCATGCTCCTCAGGGAGAGAGGCTGGGAGCGGATGATGCTTCAAGCAAGGGAGGAGGTTTGAAGTGCTTTGGGCTGGTAGGATTACTTAGTGGGAGGTGAGTTTAGTGCTGCCCCTTTTCCAGAGCTGGTCCCTGTGCTCTGGCAGATGAAGATGCTGGACCATGCCCCAGTCTCCTCAGCCATCACATCTGCCGKGTGAATGGCCAGCCCAAGGCAAAGTGGGTATGTCCTTAGGTCATGCTGGGGGAAAAGGTGGAAAGGGCAGGGTGCCTGGGGTACCCAGCTGGCTGCAGGTACCAGTGGCAGTCAGAGCTGAAGCTCCGAGGGAGACACTGGCTCATGGGAGTGGCATAGACTCATTAAAAAATCTGATTTGCATGTGTGGGTTCCCCTCAACACAGGGAGGTGCATTCAATCAAGAGACAGAGAGTCAGGGCACAAGGGGGACTCTCCTGCCTCTGGAGTCACCTATTTTCACCACAGCCTGGCAGTGAGGCTGGTGGGATTCGTGCCAGGCAGGGATGCAGAGTGGAAGTGGAGTGGTGCCAGAATGCAGGGCCAGACCAGGTGGTGAGTGAAAGGTACTGGCAGATGAGCTGCTGGGTACCCGGGAACAGCTTGTGCTGGAGGAGGCACAGGCACATCAGGCATGGGAATGCTGAAGGAGCCACCACATTGGTCCAGCCTCACTGCTGGGGTAGTAGAGATAAGCAGTRTTGTGGGGACAGTAGTGAATTTGTGAGTCCCTGGCACTCTGAGGACATGGACATCCCAGATAAAGGTGTGGAGGTCCCCAGGGCAACAAAATGGTTTTCAGAAGCCCTCTGATGGCACCAGCCTCCCTATAAGCCTGCAGGGACTGCACAGAGTGTGCCTGCATTTTTGGGATTGCCAGGTCCATCAGATGAGTACCTCCCATCCAATGTCCTTCTCTATCCAAGGATGCTGCAAACYTCCTGCTCCTGGCCGTGGCCTCCCTGGCAGTCATGGCTGTCCCCTCTTCCCTTGCTGCCGCCTGTGCCAGGTGGGGCATGCCAGGGCAGGCTGTTTTGGGGACTGCCAYGTGTCTGGAGGAGCTGTCAGAGGAGCAGCATCCCCCCAGGGCCCGGCTGGCAGGGTGGCACCGGGATCTCTGCCAGCTGTGGGCTGCCTGCCGAGGGCTCTGCCAGCCCCRGGTGGGAGCAGGCGGCTGGTTGGGTGGCTTGTAGGGCAGGAGGGCCTGTGAGGGGGCTGGCATCCCCTGGGTGGCACTGCCAGAACTGCACCCGTGTGCCCAGCTCCTGCTAACACCAGAAGGATTCGGGTGCTGCGTGGGCTTTTGGAGGAGCTGCTCATGGAACTGGAGCCCTGGTACCCCTCTTCCTGCAGCACCCTCAAGTCAGAATACTGAAGATGGAAGGATGGGACACCCCCCAAAACGCACCTTCCCTTCCCTCCCCAGGAATCCCCTGCATGCCACCACCCTGGGCCAGCCCTGCCCTGGCATTTGTGTGGCAGGGGTTCGGCTGGCACGGAGCAGGGGGAGCAGGGGAGCCCCCCGAGCAGAGCGCCGCACCCCCGCTGCCAGAATCCCCCGCTGGCTGCGGCTGCGAGCGGCAGGTCCAGGCAGGGGAAAGATGCTTGGAATTCGTGTCCTGGAGCAGAGAGAGACAGAAGCAAATACTAMTAATAAATAATCCTGCAGGGTGGAGGCTGTGCCGGTGGAGAGAGGGGGGCAGGCAGCGCCCCATGGCAAAGAGGGTAGTGGGGGGGAGAGCAGGCAGCACAGCTTCATCGCTGCCACACTGCAGAGGGGTGAGTGGCACCCTCTTGTATCCCTCACAGTGTTTCTTTCCAGATTCCAATTTGGAGCTGGGGATGGGATTTTTACTGCTTGGAAGCATATTGCGGGGTAGTGTCAGGAAGATGTGGGTACCACCTGGTCACCCAGGACCACTCTCTGCTCTCCAAACTTCCCTCTTTCCTATGGGGCAGCACCCAGAATTGCAAGGGGAGGCAGGAGATCTGTTGCCTCTCCACAGCTGRAGGGAAGAGCACTGGCAGGGTCTGACCATCCCCCAAAGTCTTCGTATCTTCTTGCAAGAGACAGCTCCTGCCCCAGGCAGCCTGTTCCAGGGTGGGTGCATCAGCCAGGGAACAGCATATGAAGAGGGAAAAGGGGGGCTCTGAGCCCCCATGGGATGTCAGCCAGGGTGGATGGGGCTTTGCTTKCTGGAGCTGACCCCACATCCCGGCCCTGTCCTGTTCTCCTGCAGATATCCGTGAAACAGCCTTCGTGTACGCCATCACGGCGGCCGGGGTGAGCCACGCCATCACGCAGGCCTGCAGCATGGGCGAGCTGCTGCAGTGCGGCTGCGAGCTGACCCGGAGCCGGGCCCCYCCCTCGCCCACAGCGGGGCCGGGCACAGAGGGCACGGCCTGGGAATGGGGGGGCTGTGGGGATGATGTGCAGTTCGGCTACGAAAAATCCCAGCAGTTCATGGATGCCAAGAACAAGAAAGGCAAAAATGACATCCGCGCTCTTATCGACCTGCACAACAATGAAGCCGGGCGCTTGGTAAGGCCCCTGCACTCCCTGCCCTCTGCAGACATCACCCCTATGCCCAGACCCAGCCCTTCACCTTCAATGTCCCCAAGCCACATACCCTCACCAGCTTTGGCTGAAATATGGACCCAATATCTTCTGGGAACTCTTTGCAGGTGCTTTGGAAACCCTCTGAGCTACTCTCCATGCCAAGCCCTTCCCCCAGCCAGGGCAGCACCAAGAGGCAGGGTTTTGGCTTTTGGGGTGCTGGGCAGGAAGAGAGGGAACCAAGGGCTGAGCATCTCTGTTTGTTCCGCAGGCGGTGCGCAGCTACATGAGGACAGAGTGCAAATGCCACGGGCTGTCGGGCTCCTGCACCCTGCGCACCTGCTGGAGGAAGATGCCCCATTTCCGCGAGGTGGGGGATCGCCTGCTCGAGCGCTTCAATGGGGCTTTCAAGGTGATGGGAGGCAACGATGGCAAAACCCTCATCCCTGTGGGTGACAACATCAAGCCTCCTGATAAACAGGACCTCATCTACTCGGCTGACTCACCTGATTTCTGCTCGGCTAATCGTAAGACGGGCTCGCTGGGCACCAGGGGCCGTGTCTGCAACAGCACAGCCATGGACACGAGCGGGTGTGACCTGCTGTGCTGCGGGCGAGGGCACCGGGACGAGACGGTGGTGCTGGAGGAGAACTGCCTTTGCCGCTTCCACTGGTGCTGCGTGGTGCAGTGCCGCAAGTGCTCCGTCCGTCAGGAGCTCAGCCTCTGCGTYTGACAGCCTGGGGTCAGGCAAGGACAATTTGGGAGCCACCTCCAGGCTCACATGGCCCCCCTGGGACAGAGACAGGTGGAGCCGGTGGCAGGGTCAGCGTGGGTGAGCCAGCTCTGCACTCTGGGGAGTCCTGGCTTTCCCAGGGGGAGCGTGAGGCTGCCCAGCATCCCCACGGCCCCCATGGTTGGGGCTGCGGGAGCAGAGCTTCCACTAATAAAGCTATTTAAAGCCGGTGTGCCACAGCGCTTCCTGGGGAGGGCTGGGAAGCGCTGAGCACCGTATTGGGATGGGGCTAGCCAGAGAGCTGTGAGCCCCAATCAGCCTCACTCCGGCCAGCCTCTGGCCCGGCTGGGAGTTGTGGCAAAATCCAGCTCATTTTGTGTCTACTGTCTGTGGTTGTCGAGCCTGGAGATGTGTGTAGAAGAGGGTGAGTACTCTCCTGCCGTGCTCTGCAGTTTCCATTGAGCTCTCCTCCCATCACTCACAGCTGTCATTGCTTGGGGTGACAGTTTGTGTCCAGCCTCCATCTGACCTGGTATGTTTGCAGTGACCTGCAGTCCATGACGCCTCCACTCACGCCTCACACTGGAGGTACACCTAGCTGCCCAAATAGGATGGTGATGTGCTCTGAGTTTCTTGAAGGGATCCTGTATTATTTTCCCTCCAGTCACAGTCACTGCGGTCCCAGCTTCAGGGCCTGGCACACAGAAGCCCTGGACAGCGCTGACACTGTTGGCTTGGTGGCATGCAAGGCATTCACTTGGCATGCCGTGGGCCACGTGCAACCCCACCTGGATGGCCGGGTGCCAGGCATGTATGTCTTGATAACCTGATCAGCCTGCGCCCCTCATGGACAAACACAGGGTGACGAGCAGCCTGCCTGGCTGCCCAGCAAGGCAGGTTGCCACTCCCGGTCTCAGGGGCTCCAGGGATCTCCTAGGGGGTCCCTCCCATGCTGCAAGGAGCCCACAGGGCTGATTTCTCCAGCGTTAGCCAGCATAGGGGTTTAGGTCACTGCAGAGGGGAGTGTGTGTGTGCGGTGCCTGCTCAGCTGGCAGTGCCTCACTGGGCAGAGGAGCCCCAGAGGGCTGTCAGCAGAGCAGGAGCCTGGGCAGGGCTGTCAGCAGAGCAGGAGCCTGGGCAGGGAGCTCCATGTTGCTGCAGTGCTGGACACTGGGGGCTTTCCTGTCCACCCCTCTGCAAGAGAGCTCTAAGCTGAGGTACTTGAGGTGGGCAATGCCCCAAGTGCTGGTACTGCCAGGCATGGCAAAAGCAGAGCTCCAGTGCTGGACACACTGCAAGCCAAGGGAGGCTGCACKGAGTGCTGGTGATGCCCGCCAGTGGGRCCTGCCCCAGGCAGCCAGCAGGGAAGGGGCAGGAGAAGCAGGGTGCTGGTGAACCATTAACTTGGCCCAGCAAGCACTGGGGAGGCAGTCTCTAAACCTGTTAGCTGCAGCTTTGCAGCTGGAAATTCCCTTCCGACTTGCCCACAGTGGTGCTGGGAGAGGGGAGGCACACAGGGATCCCGGGAACTCCCATCCGCCCATGGGAACACATGGGTGGGTGCGAGCAGGGCTGGGTGGGTGCAGATGAAGGGATCTGTGCACGCAAGCAGCTCRGTGTGTGTGCATGCACAGGTAGCATGCTTACACTTGTTCATGACCACATGTGTGCGTGTGAGCTTGTGTACACACCCCTCACTGAGTGTTGAGCCCCTCGTGGCTGTGTAAACAAGCTGGCCTGTGTGTCTTCCTGCATCTCTGTGAACACACAGCAAATTGCCAGTGCATGTGTGCATCAGTGACACTGTCCCCATGTGTGCCTCTGTGACAGCTTGTTTGTTTACACATCTTATTGAGTTTCCTCAGGTGTGTCTGGGACAGGTAGGATATGTGTGGGTGCAAAAGAGTTCTCCAGGAAGGGACCTGCAGAGTTGCAGGGGCTGTGTGCTGGGAGATGTGGGGAGCTGTTCCATGGGTTCTGCAGGTCCCTCTGAATTGGACACATTTGAGCACACCTCAAGCCCTGGATTGGCTATCAGGAGAGGTCAGTTCAGGCAGGTCCTGTGAAGCTTTATGTGTTCCCTGTTGTCCTCTGGCAGGGTCCTCTGTTCTATGGCTGAGACCAGCTATAGAGGGATTCTGAAACCCTCTGTGAGATGTTCAGAGTCTGAGCTCCAATCTTTAGCAAGTTCCTTCTTTAGATTCTGTCTCAGTTCCCCCACAATGGGCTGCTTTCATGCTCTGGGCTGCATGGACGTGGCTCTGCACATCTGGCAATGGATAAACCCCTGGGAAGACATTTAGTACCTTTGAGTAAGGTATCTGACCATTGTCCTCTCTGCCACTGCCCCAAATCACAGCTCCTGAAGGATGGAGATGACAGAAGCCAAAAATGTGGAGGGGAAGCACACGGTCAGTGATTGTGGGGGTAACTCCTCTGTGTCTCTAGGAGTCACCTCTGCACTATGTTTGTGAGCCCCTCACAGGTATGCAAACCAGCTGGGCTGTGTGTCTTGTTCTCTGTCCAGCTGGGGAAAAGGAATAGCTTTTATGGGGGCTGACAGCTGCTCAGCACAGCTCCCTGCTGCTCCTGAGCTGGCAAAGCCAAATCCATTCCCTTGATAGCCCGGAGAAGCCCTGACACAGACTAGTGCTGCCAGTAGCCTGTCAGGGTCTGGACCTGGCCCAGTGGTCTGCAGAGGGCTGCAGACCCCCTTAGCAATCTCCCAGACCTCCACAGCTCCCCAAGAGCTCTCCATCCAGTAGGATGTACCCCAGATTGCTAACACACCTCAGCAGTCCCCAAGGGCCGCTATTCCCCAGGTGCCTGGAAGTGCCCCAGGTACCGCCCCCACACCAATTCCGAGCAGCCCCACAGCCATCCAGACCCCTAAGAACCTGCTGAACCCCCTTAATACCCGCCAGCTCCCGGCCCGGGGGGGCGCAGCATCCCCGCCGTCGCCATGGCAACCCGGGATGCGGGGCGGGCGGGCAGCGCGGCGGCGGGAGACCGCCAGGGGGAGCTGCGGCACGGCACGGGGAACATGGGAATGGGAATGGGAATGGGAGTGGGAATGGGAATGGGAATGGGATGGGAATGGGAATGGGGATGGGATGGGAATGGGAATGGGGATGGG